CAGTTACATAAACTAAGCTAATTATAAATCGGTAAAAATATCCAATTCACATTCGTATCAATTTCAATGTATATTCATCTAATTGATACATCAATAATAATGATAAAAAGGATAGGGTGTAAACATCTTAGAAGTTGGTAATTATACATTATGTAGGCTTAAATAATTAATAATAATAATAATAATAATAATAATAATAATAATAATAATGGTAATAATAATAATTGAAAAAAAAATCTAACTGACAGAACACAACCATATGTCACACTATTCATTCATGTGATAGAATTGTATATTATTACACTAATTCTAATATTATATTGTTTCCAAATATAGAATGAGCACAATAATTTAAAGTACACAAAACCATTTTGATTGATGTTCATTTCATTCATCGAAATTTGTTTCATAGTCAATGTAGTTTTTTTCATTCTTTCAAAGTACAATTTAGATTATGTCATTCATAGATTATTGGTTCTATTTAGACAATTAGCTTTTTGTTATCTCTTAATTTACAAGTCAAACTCAACGATTTTGCTGGTCAATGAAACTCTTTTAAAAACAGTACAGCTTTATGTAATCAACTTTAAGTTCTACAATTTATGTGTATTTATTTTATTATTTAATTTTCATCGTACCTGTGTGGTGAATACTACTTGGAACGTGGTTTATGAGTAGTATACATCGGAGTGGCGTCAAAAAGTTAATACTGGTGGAAAAAGTATGGAATCGGAATACATGAAGCGAGCAAAGTGTTATGAAGACAAGAAGATATGTGAAAGAAGATAGTCAATAATCTTCTGTTTTTTCTAATGGAACTGTGAAGATTGGGTGTACATATTTTGCTAGTAAACTGCGTCTCTAAATAAGCTACTACTCCAATCTGGTCTTGAAGTTTTCGTTCATTGCACCCGTGCTACTGATTACTTATCATTCATTTTATGCATGACAAAAAACTTATACTTTTATCCGATTTCATTTCTTCTTCTTACTATTACGTAACTGTTTGTATTCACTTACTGATCATGAAAATTCATTTTACATGCAATAGATAGAATCTACCTAGCATTGGAATCCAGGACACGCGTTTCGTTCTCTCTGGGACCCACTGACTGGATGTACCTACGTCTCAGAGTTGATGTTCAACTCTGGGGCTCGAACCCAGTACCGTGTACTGCAAATGCCATCTCGTTATTCACTTAACTATTGAGTTCAGACAACCACTTATTTGTGTCATAATGGCATAGGATGCCTAAATGCCAACCAAAACTTAGCGAAATATCAACAGCAGGTTAATCCAAACCATTTGAAACTGAATCGAAAATTCATCGTAGTTTTAATTTTAATCTTATAAACGTTATGTAACTAACTCACCATTATATTGTTAAATTAACTTAGCTAAGAATTAGGTCATCATTTCAACTCAGTCAGTCAGCCAGTCAGTCAGATGCAACGTAGAACTTCGTACGTAAATACATCAGTTCATGTCGCCATACGATAAAAGCACAGAGATGTAATGGTCAATTCAAATCCAATAGTAGAAGAGTTAGTAAGGGTATTAGAAGTAATCGGAGAGGTTAGGATTAGAAGATATTATTCAACAAAAATATCCAATTCACATTCGTATCAATTTCAATGTATATTCATCTAATTGATACATCAATAATAATGATAAAAAGGATAGGGTGTAAACATCTTAGAAGTTGGTAATTATACATTATGTAGGCTTAAATAATTAATAATAATAATAATAATAATAATAATAATAATAATAATAATAATAATGGTAATAATAATGATTGAAAAAAAAATCTAACTGACAGAACACAACCATATGTCACACTATTCATTCATGTGATAGAATTGTATATTATTACACTAATTCTAATATTATATTGTTTCCAAATATAGAATGAGCACAATAATTTAAAGTACACAAAACCATTTTGATTGATGTTCATTTCATTCATCGAAATTTGTTTCATAGTCAATGTAGTTTTTTTCATTCTTTCAAAGTACAATTTAGATTATGTCATTCATAGATTATTGGTTCTATTTAGACAATTAGCTTTTTGTTATCTCTTAATTTACAAGTCAAACTCTTGAAAATATTCAACGATTTCGCTGGTCAATGAAACTCTTTTAAAAAGAGTACAGCTTTATGTAATCAGCTTTAAGTTCTACAACTGATGTGTATTAATTTTATTATTTAATTTTCATCATATCTATGTGGCGGATACTACTCGAAACGTGGTTTATGAGTAGTATACACTGGAAGTCGTCAAAAAGTTACTACTGGTGGAAAAAGTGTAGGATTGGAATACATGTAGCGGTCAAAGTGTCATGAAGACTAGAAGATATGTGAAAGAAGATAGTCAATAATCTTCTGGTTTTTCTAATGAAGATTAGGTGTACATATTTTGCTAGTAAACTGCGTCTCTAAACATGCTACTACTCCAATCTGGTCTTGAAGTTTTCGTTCATTACACCCGTGCTACTGATTACTTATCATTCATTTTATGCATGACAAAAAACTTATACTTTTATCCGATTTCATTTCTTCTTCTTACTATTACGTAACTGTTTGTATTCACTTACTGATCATGAAAATTCATTTTACATGCAATAGATAGAATCTACCTAGCATTGGAATCCAGGACACGCGTTTCGTTCTCTCTGGGACCCACTGACTGGATGTACCTACGTCTCAGAGTTGATGTTCAACTCTGGGGCTCGAACCCAATACCGTGTACTGCAAATGCCATCTCGTTATTCACTTAACTATTGAGTTCAGACAACCACTTATTTGTGTCATAATGGCATAGGATGCCTAAATGCCAACCAAAACTTAGCAAAATATCAACAGCAGGTTAATCCAAACCATTTGAAACTGAATTGAAAATTCATCGTAGTTTTAATTTTAATCTTATAAACGTTATGTAACTAACTCACCATTATATTGTTAAATTAACTTAGCTAAGAATTGGGTCATCATTTCAACTCAGTCAGTCAGTCAGATGCAACGTAGAACTTCGTACGTAAGTACATCAGTTCATGTCGCCATACGATAAAAGCACAGAGATGTAATGGTCAATTCAAATCCAATAGTAGAAGAGTTAGTAAGGGTATTAGAAGTAATCGGAGAGGTTAGGATTAGAAGATATTATTCAACAAAAATATCCAATTCACATTCGTATCAATTTCAATGTATATTCATCTAATTGATACATCAATAATAATGATAAAAAGGATAGGGTGTAAACATCTTAGAAGTTGGTAATTATACATTATGTAGGCTTAAATAATTAATAATAATAATAATAATAATAATAATAATAATAATAATAATAATGGTAATAATAATGATTGAAAAAAAAAATCTAACTGACAGAACACAACCATATGTCACACTATTCATTCATGTGATAGAATTGTATATTATTACACTAATTCTAATATTATATTGTTTCCAAATATAGAATGAGCACAATAATTTAAAGTACACAAAACCATTTTGATTGATGTTCATTTCATTCATCGAAATTTGTTTCATAGTCAATGTAGTTTTTTTCATTCTTTCAAAGTACAATTTAGATTATGTCATTCATAGATTATTGGTTCTATTTAGACAATTAGCTTTTTGTTATCTCTTAATTTACAAGTCAAACTCTTGAAAATATTCAACGATTTCGCTGGTCAATGAAACTCTTTTAAAAAGAGTACAGCTTTAAGTTCTACAACTGATGTGTATTAATTTTATTATTTAATTTTCATCATATCTATGTGGCGGATACTACTCGAAACGTGGTTTATGAGTAGTATACACTGGAAGTCGTCAAAAAGTTACTACTGGTGGAAAAAGTGTAGGATTGGAATACATGTAGCGGTCAAAGTGTCATGAAGACTAGAAGATATGTGAAAGAAGATAGTCAATAATCTTCTGGTTTTTCTAATGAAGATTAGGTGTACATATTTTGCTAGTAAACTGCGTCTCTAAACATGCTACTACTCCAATCTGGTCTTGAAGTTTTCGTTCATTACACCCGTGCTACTGATTACTTATCATTCATTTTATGCATGACAAAAAACTTATACTTTTATCCGATTTCATTTCTTCTTCTTACTATTACGTAACTGTTTGTATTCACTTACTGATCATGAAAATTCATTTTACATGCAATAGATAGAATCTACCTAGCATTGGAATCCAGGACACGCGTTTCGTTCTCTCTGGGACCCACTGACTGGATGTACCTACGTCTCAGAGTTGATGTTCAACTCTGGGGCTCGAACCCAATACCGTGTACTGCAAATGCCATCTCGTTATTCACTTAACTATTGAGTTCAGACAACCACTTATTTGTGTCATAATGGCATAGGATGCCTAAATGCCAACCAAAACTTAGCAAAATATCAACAGCAGGTTAATCCAAACCATTTGAAACTGAATTGAAAATTCATCGTAGTTTTAATTTTAATCTTATAAACGTTATGTAACTAACTCACCATTATATTGTTAAATTAACTTAGCTAAGAATTGGGTCATCATTTCAACTCAGTCAGTCAGTCAGATGCAACGTAGAACTTCGTACGTAAGTACATCAGTTCATGTCGCCATACGATAAAAGCACAGAGATGTAATGGTCAATTCAAATCCAATAGTAGAAGAGTTAGTAAGGGTATTAGAAGTAATCGGAGAGGTTAGGATTAGAAGATATTATTCAAGAAGTATGATTAACTGAGAAAAGTTTAGAAAGTCGTTTCAACTATGAAAATACGATCTCCACAAATCTCCTTCATTCATAACAATCAAGTTTAGCACTAATTTAATTCTCTATACTGAAATAGATACAGTCTCTATAAATCATCAAGTAGCTAACTATTAGAAATATCCTCTCATTTCTTTGTATCATCCTATTTGATTACTGTGTAAATTAGACACATTGAAATAATCTCTTAATGATTTATTTGTAACTTTTGTTTTGATTATTATTTTGTAGGGATTTAATGGAAACAACTAAACCTTTTCTGGTAAATACAATACGCGTTCCAGCATTACCAACTTTGTTATTGTATTGTCGTGAAGTGGACACAAATGCTAACATTTCAAGGTTTGTAATAAATGTAAACATTTTCAAATCTTGTCACTATTTCATCATTAATAGTCATTCTGAAATGGATAGTCTCATCTCGATTGTTGTTAAGCTCTCTATGATAGATGGTTTAATTTCAAAACTTTCATTATCAATCTTAACCATAAGTCAGTTTGTTTTAGTGGCGTTTGATTTGATTGGTTTGTCTCATTTATCCTTGAAATCATGTTAACTGTCTAGTTTTGTTGACCTCTGACCATGTGATTGACCTTCATCATATGGGTTGATATTATTGTCAATATTAATAATCCGATCATTCCTGATAATGAATATACCTTGTTGTATATGTTTATACTCTATTTTCGTTGTAAATATTTGTCTCTGATTCTTCAAATATATGAATCTTGTAATCAACCGCTCAAACTAGTAGCCATATTGCAGCTTTATAAGTGATACTGCGCAGCAGTTCGCTCCGTTATCCTATATGGATGCGAAACATGGCCGATAAGAGTAGAAGATATTCGTAGGTTACTAGTATTCGATCATAGGTGTCTTTGAAGCATTGCTCGTGCATCCTGAGACGACCGAGTAAGCAATGCTATCGTTATGAAACGAGTCCTAGGTAAGGATGGAAGGTCAGTAGATGAAGTAATGAGACTTCATCAGTTTAGGTGGTTGGGACATGTGTTATGTACGCCCAACAACCGACTGCCTCGACGAGCAATGTTTTGTGTTGTAGGCTTAGGCTGAAAGAAAGTTTGGGGCGGCCAGACCAAAACATGACAGAAATACATAAAGTCACGGACGAGTGGACGTAGTCATGTCGGTAGTTGTCGACTACCTTTTTGGGGTCCGCGAGATGATAATAATTGACATGGCTCAAAACCGTTTGCAATGGCGCAGGTGCATCCACTTTTTGTGTTCTCTCAAATCCTAATCTTCTGGATTCATCAACACCTCTACCTTCGTCTTTCTAACATTATCTCACTGAATTATATTTCTTGAATATTATCTTCAGTTCCTAATCTTTTCCATTACCAGTAATACTTCTACTATCTCTGCCTCTACTGAATTTGAATTGACAATAGTGTCTCTGTGCTAATGCGGTATGACATCATGAACTGATGTACTTACCTACGAAGTTCTACATTGTAACTAACTGACTGACTTGATAAATGAAATCGGGCTGCAGATAGGGATAAACATATTATTGGTACTATACACAGTGATCGATCGGTGTGAATATTTCGGTCTTTTATGAGACCGGTTGCAATTTCAGTAGCTTACTGACTATAGCATCCCTATCTGTGATTCATTGTGACACTTGTTATTTTTTAATCCCATAAGTAACGTCAGTAAACGGAAGACGTAGGTTTCGGGTTTCCTGATTATTGCCGTCAACTAGTTATCGTCAATTCAGTGGCTTATTTGGAGTGGGTGGAAGTCATATATCTCTTTTAGAATAATATTCAAAAGATGCCTATATGCTTATCGATAGACCTACCCGTGAATGCTGAAATAAAATAAATACAGGAATGTTTTGTACAGTGATAATGAAGATGAGATAAATCTGTTTCCGCATAGATTAATTCTAAGTCTTATGAAAACAAAGTTTATGTATTCACCAGACACACTGTATACATTCAAAATCTGTGTTATTCTCATAAAAACTTACTCATAGATATACATTAGATTACAGTTAGTTATAGTTGGAAAAAGTTTGTTTTTAATTGATGCCAGTACTGTCTGGTTGTATTTTTTTTAAAGTTAACATCATGAGCTTAAAATTTGTAAGTCGTTGTTGACATTTACCAGCTGTAAATATTTTGCAGTTTAGTGGATTTAAATTTTGTGATTAGAATAATTCAACTATGAAGTCTCATTGTATATGATCTATTTTCATTGATAGAATTTTATCTACTTTTGATTTTGGGAAATTCTTCTACATCACTGTAGGAATAGGTTGGACGAAAGCTAGGGGCGGCCAGGTCAAAACATGGCAGAAATCCATGAAGTCACTGAGAAGTGAATTGAGCCATGTCGGTGGGTGTCAACTACCTGGTTGGGGTCCACGAGATGATAATAATCGATGGTTAGAGACCCTGAGTGACATGGCTCAAAACCGTTTGCAATGGCACAGGTGCATTTACTCTTTGTGTTCTACGAAATTTTAACTTTCTTAATTCCTCATCATCTCTATCTCTGTCTTTCTAAACTTATCTCACTAGATTCTAGTTCTTGAATAATGTCTTCGAACCCTAATCTCTCCGATTACTTCTAATACTTTTACTATCTCTACTACAATGGGATTTGAATTGACGATTACTTCTCTGTGCTCATGTCGTATGGCAACTTGAACTGATGTACTGATGTACGAAGATCTACGTTGAAACTGACTGACTGACTGACATCACAGTATTGATGGTCTAACTTAGGCTTGAACTCATCACCTCTTAATAAAAGTGGCATCGTGTTATTTACATCCTGAATTCCACTGATAGCCCTGATCAATTTATATACGAAAATATAAAAGTAGTTTATGAAAGTATTTATGACCCGAACTAACGAATATAATCTACCTTTGTTTATAAGTCTTCGTAAACTCATAAGACAAATAAAACTACTGGATACATTTGAGTTTCATAACTTTCTCAGTGACAGATTGTTGGCTTTAACTGTTTGTATATTCCTTGGTCAATAAACGGCATAAGAATTTCAATATCAGTAAAGCAAGTAGTATAGGTAGGTTTACTCAAGTTTGATAAATGGAGTAACGTTTTAACGTCAAAAACAACCAACTTAAATTCAATTTCAAATACTCAAAATGAAAATTTTGTTTTTCGATCACAATTCATCTGGTAATGAAAATTGTAAACAAGTTAGATTGTTCATCTCTAACTTATTACTACTGATAGTGAATACTGCAAATTTTATTATTGTTGAAAGTTATATAACATGTGATCACCACAAGTGTACACATTTAGGACAAAGGTGTTTTCATATCAGCATTATACATACTTATACACAATACGATTTAATTTGTAACGAATTATCATGAAAACAATTTTGTCGATTTCATATACGTGAATGAGAAACTTCAATTCCAACAGTAATATTAATTTGGTGAATATGCTTTATCTGTGCATAAATCAATCAGTCAGACAATATATTTTATGATAAATAAGATTCCGTTTATTTCAACGAACGCTTTTAGGTGATCGTTTGTTTATGATTAAATTCTAGTAAAGGAAAACAAAAATAATCATTTCAATCATGTGAATAAATATTGTTTATCAATCATATTCCTCTCTATGTCTCTCTCTTACTTCATGTTACATTAAACGAAATATGTTTTACCAGCCTTCTGTATTGTTTACAAAAATACTGAACACGTAATTGTAATAATAATAATAATAATAATAATAATAATAATAATAATAATAATAATAATAATAATAATAATCACGTACAGATTAACTCAGTGATAACAAAGTCCGTCAGCGTAGTAGTATTAGTAATAATGAAATGCATTAGAGATCAGTGATAATAAAGCAGACCATTTAGTTAATCATGTTTACGTGTAATGTGCTTATCAATGCAAGTCATGTGTGTCCTATGCATTTGTGAGTTATAACAGCAGGGATCAAGGTGATCAAACCGAAACACACTATATAGCTCACGTAGACAACTATTTATTAATACTCGCACCTTTTGAAGTAGTTTTTTTAGATTTCAGTTTCGTATAATCGAATTGTCTTGGCTTTTATATTGAAATTGCTGACTTTTATGTTAGCTAAAAGTTGTTCCGAGTTCAAGTTGTTCATTTTTGTGAGAATGCTGACCGTAATTTGCCAGTCCGTATCTTCACATTTACATCGAATCCCCCTTGTTTGTGAATTTTGTTGCCCAGTTACGTAAAAGTCTCTACCTCTTCCAAAGCTTTCTCATCAAGTGTGATTTAATCGGTGTTCACTTTGCTGTATTTTAGGATCATTCTTGTGTATTTTGAGTCCTGCTATCGCACTGGCTGTCTTCTGCTTTTGTTGCTGTGTATGAGAAAGAAGAGCTAAGCCACCTGCAAACTCCATATCATTTTGCTGCATTCAAGCAATCCACTGTATTCCGTACCTCTCTTGAGATGTAGAGCAAACCACTAGAAGAAAGAGTAGGGGATAGAGTTGGCAGCTTTGTCTGACACTAACAATCACTTGGAATGAATCTGTGAGCTGATCTCCATGCAGGACTATACTGTGTATTCCGTTGTAAGAGATCTATACGATATTGATAATCTCCGCAGGTATACTATAGTGTCGAAGAAGGTTCTGTAAAGTTCTCTTATCGACTCTTTCAAATGTTTTCTTATGGTCAGAGAAGTTGGCCTACCTTTTGTATTGGCGCTCCCTGTGGCCCCGAACCCCATAACATGCTGAATTTACTGCTTCTTTGACCCCGTTCAGTTCTCCATGGTAGTTTTCTGTTCTTTAAGTGGATAGTGTAAGGCTAGGAACTGGTTGCGATCTTGAAATCTTTGAGTTTGCCAGTATCCCGAAAAAAGGCAATAGTAAACTTTCGTAATACTGTCTGCCCAGTTTTCCAGTGCTTCATTAGCTTCAGTTTCATCTTGCCCCCACCAAGTAGTGACTTGAAGCTATGTCAGCTCCTCTCTTTGTTCTTACGTCTTCCATGGTCCTTCTGAAATTTTTATTGATACAGATGTGATCGATTTAGTATTTTATAGTGTGGTTCAACGGGATCTATGTCTCTGAGTTTGCAACCTATAACCATTCTGTTGAAGGTAAATAGATTCGCAAATCTGTCACCATTTTCGTTCGTTTCTCCTAGCCTGTGTTGTCTCATGGTATTTTAATACTCAATATTGTCAATTCCTATACTGGAGTTTAGGTTTCTCACCCAGACAATAAGATCCTTTCCTGAGCCTTTCTTCACTATTGATTTCAGCACTTCATAAAACTGATCTTTATCGTCCTCATTTCTGTTATTAGTTGGTGCATAACACTGAATGAAATTCATTGCAATTCCTTCCTTGTTTCTTTTGAAGAACGATTTGATCTTGGATCGCTGAGATTCTTTTCCTATAAGCCGTTTTTACTCTTCTTTAGGGAGCATCAGTGTGACTTCTTGTATGCTCGAAGCATTTTCCTCGCCATGGCCAGAGTATAATAACACATTTCCTGACGCCAATCCTTTCCGTCCAGCCTACTTACAATGGATTTCATTTATCTCAAGCACACAGGATTGTATCTTTTTATTTCCGAATCTACTTAAATGGTCCTCCCGATCTCCCATATTGTGTATACATTCTCTGTACTTAAATTAATTGCTGCTCTGATTGTCAGAAGGGGCATTAGCCTTATGAGGTCCGAAGAATCTCAGCTAACACCACGAGGCTTCATAACTCTTCTAAATGAAGATCCAGGTCAGAATTTCAACAGTTTAAGTGAATTTTTTTCTGTATAGCGTTTTTTTATAGCAAGGTTCTTTACTGTACCATATGCATCACACTTTATCACTTATTTACTAAATGACTGTACAGTATTGCACTTATCGCAAAATCAGAAAAGATAAGTAGGTTATTAATTATTCGGCTAAATGGTACTCCTGATCTTTATTATCAAAAATTTACCTTATTTTGTATTTATAACTAACCTATACATAGATGAAATCTTACTATCTTTTCTGTGGTTATAAAGTTGATAATTACAAAGACCTTATCAGTATGAGAGTTATGGAAGTTGTTGGGTTTTATTGAAATCATGAGCCAATCAATGTTTTAAACAACCACTCAGAACATGGAAACACTGAACGACCATGGGAATCGATTTTCGCTTATACAGTCGTGGATGCGCACTGTTGAGTAGTCCTATACTAGGACTAAACGGTCTTCCAGTGCTTCCACTTTTTCACTGGTGGTCTAACATTGATCGGCTCATGGTTTTAATAAAATACATTTAACTCTAGATCAGGACATTTTTTTTATATACCCAAAATGATTCTAGTCATTCGTAGGGTTATATTACTGAATATTTCATAATGATAACAATAATATATGTGAATAACTTTAAGTACATGTAATCTATATATTTTGAACAACATTTATCATTCAAACATTAATTGATTGGTGGTTGTCAACTTCGTAAAATACATGATCAATATTGAATTGTTAATCAATAATGTACTTATAATAGTTTATTTTATCTGATTTTATAAAAATATATCCATAAATAGGACACGTTAAAGTTTATACATTTCGATTCTATACTTTCTTTATAGTCATATTTTCATCATATGATTTAGAAATACTTGTAAATAAAGCTTTTTTTCTTTCTTTTTTAATTTGAAACTGAAAGGCTAAAACGGAAAGGTTGATTGCTAAAAATTTTCCCAAAAATGTAATTGAACTATAACTATGTTGGGGATGTTAGATCCCCACAGCTCACTTGATAAAGGTCCTTAATTTTGGATTTTGTTTGCGAGCATGGGCTGATCGCTTGACCTTGAGATTTCATTCCCTACCAGGAAAATCCATGGCTGTGATTGGCTGCTGTGTATTTTAGTGTGCTATTTTCGTAACTGTCCCATGGACGTTTCTATGATGTATAACTAAACGAGAGTTGTGTGCTTGAATGCATTTTGCTTGCTGGGTGTTGTAGGATATACTTTCTATGCTTACAAAGCCTTTTTATCTTCAGCTTGGGATCCAAGGTAGCCTACCTGGACTCTGGTGATTGTCTCGTTCGCGTTTATCGACTCAGGTGAACTCGTAATAGCTTCAAGCGTACCTAGTGACGAACGTAACAAACTATTCTATTCAAAGTTTAATAAGTATACCTTTTTTTAAGGTAACTTTTTGACATACTGCTAAAATTTTTAATGGTTTATTGTAATAGGAATGAGAATTGTTTAGTTTACTAAATAAATATTGTATAGCTACATTCTATGTGATCTATTTACTAATGTTTTGTAATCACTAGTCTCAGATTAAAACAAATATTCCTTGAGTAGTAATATGACATCAATAAAATTTAATTTCAATATAATAGTGAATGCAACTTCATACTCAAATAAACATCGGTATATTATGCCTTGAACCATAATCAGTTTGTGAGAGTTAAATAATACAATCTTGGTTTTAAGATTGAAGTAAAAAGACTAGAACTTTACAATCAGTGACAGAAGATGTGTATTCAAATATGCGAAGTATTTCTATATGGAAAATCTATTTATTTTTATATTCTATTGTGATCACACTTTGGAATTTAACAATATTTGTTTTTATAAATTAACAGAATTGTTTTTGATTCATGGTTGGAAGTACGATTATTGGATGTTGAAGCTGCACAACGAGCTGTAGCTACTACTGTTTGGTTACGATCAACAATGCAATGTCTTATGGAATTTGAGCTTGCAGGTATTAATAACAATGATGTACTTCAAAAATTTCTTATTAAATTAGCTTTGAATACCTTTTGTAATTATTCTTGTTAATACTCTGATGTCAGGTTACTTGTAACATGCGCAATCACAATGTTGAACAGTTGTCTGCCACCTTATCAATGAATAGTCAACATCATCGATATGTGATTGTATATATAAAACTAAAGGCTTCAAATAATCAATACTGGTTAACAAAACTCTATTCAGTTTATTTTCCATCAAATAAGTTCGACTACAATTCAGTATATATATATAATTTAATTTGTAGTTCATAACTGCTTGCTAATTTTTTTATCAGCCTTGTTTATTTGACTGTAGACATATATTTGATCTGCATTACGGGGTTGTGAAGATTGTTAAGTTACACATTTTTTGAAACCATGAATCGATCAATGTTAGACCACCATTAGAAACCTGGAAGCACTGGACGGCCGTTTCGTCCTGATATGGGACTCCTCAGCAGTGCGCATCCACGACTCCTGCACCCCTCAGGATTCGAACCCAGGACCTTCGGTATTGTGCGCGAACGCCCTAACCGATAGACCACTGAGCCGGTATCTAACGGTGTTAATGTCTAACTTGATCATATTCACGGAGTTGCGCAACCTCATACACAGTCTTCGGTAGTTACTGTCTACACCCGAACAGGTTGAACTTCACTGGTCACGTCTTCCCACTAGAACTCGGAGAAGATTCCTCACGAAGCTAGTCACTAGTGAGCACAGGTAATTTGCATTACGGGGTTGTGAAGATTGTTAAGTTACACATTTTTGAAACCATGAATCGATCAATGTTAGACCACCATTAGAAACCTGGAAGCACTGGACGGCCGTTTCGTCCTGGTATGGGACTCCTCAGCAGTGCGCATCCGGCATACCGGCTCAATGGTCTATCGGTTAGGGCGTTCGCGCACAATACCGAAGGTCCTGGGTTCGAATCCTGCGGGGTGCAGGAGTCGTGGATGCGCACTGCTGAGGAGTCCCATATCAGGACGAAACGGCCGTCCAGTGCTTCCAGGTTTCTAATGGTGGTCTAACATTGATCGATTCATGGTTTCAAAAATGTGTAACTTAACAATCTTCACAACCCCGTAATGCAAATTACCTGTGCTCACTAGTGACTAGCTTCGTGAGGAATCTTCTCCGAGTTCTAGTGGGAAGACGTGACCAGTGAAGTTCAACCTGTTCGGGTGTAGACAGTAACTACCGAAGACTGTGTATGAGGTTGCGCAACTCCGTGAATATGATCAAGTTAGACATTAACACCGTTAGATACCGGCTCAGTGGTCTATCGGTTAGGGCGTTCGCGCACAATACCGAAGGTCCTGGGTTCGAATCCTGCGGGGTGCAGGAGTCGTGGATGCGCACTGCTGAGGAGTCCCATATCAGGACGAAACGGCCGTCCAGTGCTTCCAGGTTTCTAATGGTGGTCTAACATTGATCGATTCATGGTTTCAAAAATATATTTGATCGTCATCGAGTCAGTTCGTTTCACTAATACTAGTGTCGTACGAATAAGACATACATAAATTGTTTTATTAATTTTCATTGTTGTGACCTTAAGTAGTCGTGTTCAAACAATGATTGAATCACAAGTTTTGGTGTTTAAATTCTGCTTAAATTTGACCTTGAATCTTATCTTTTACGTTACTAGTAGTATAATACTTGATTTTTACTTGACAAGATTAGATTGTCGATTGATTGTAAGGTATGAGTATTTTCGCTCAAATTCTCTCAAAAATGGGGTCAAGCGGTGACGATAATCATTCTTAGTTTGAATGATCAAACTTTCCGGATGGTAAAATAAAGTGTAAACGTTAGAGCATTGTTTTAGCTATTTTACTTTTATAGTGTTAGCTTGATCTACTAGGGTTCTTGGTACATGTGTGATTTCGACAGAGGATTGAGCGGCTCTGTCCATATATATATATATATATATATATATATATATATATATATATATATATATATATATATATATATATCCTGTATAATGTATTGCTTTTTCCCTCAAAATTCGAATTTATGTAATGTATCAATGTTTATTTAGCTAAATTTTTTCATATGTTAATAATTGATATAACTAACGGTGTCAGTTTCTGTAAGGAAAAAGGTATAGTATATTACGCTGATCTGCATTGCCTTTGTTATCATTATGAAATTTATCATTTGATGAGGATTTCAGTGATTGTGCCTCCGCTTTATACTTCTCTAACCCAAGCGTTCACAGATTAATATTTTCAATGACTATCTATATACGTAATCATTGTTAGCTTTGTAGCATTTCTCGTATCTGATAAGAAGATTACTTTCGACATTCTGAAGTCCGGAAGCATTTGTTTAGGATTGGGGGCTGATTTTCAAAAATCTTGTGTTTGGTACTTCGATCTAGTCACTATCACGAACCTTACTTTGATCAGTCATTTGTGCAAAAAAGGAAAACCAAGTATATACGGAATGCTATAATGCCAGAAGGCGAATATTGTTGTTTACAGCTCATACGTATTCATTTATGGGTTTCTAGACTGCAAAAACCTGTAAACGGTGATTTTGATCAGATAAATAATTTATTTATTCATAATAGTGGTATTTATCATCCAACCTTGGGATAGTTTATGATGCCTAATTTTGTCCTGGTATATCAAACAGATAATATGTTTTTTTGTTAAAATACGTGTTTTAACTAAAGAATTCATCACTGACACTATTCCTGAAGGTCTAACAATGGTTGATTGATGATTTCAATTGTGTAAAAACACAAACCTCCAAAACTCTGCCCGAAAATATCGTAACAGTGCTCACTAGTGACTAGCTTCGTGAGGAAATTCTCGGAGTTCTAGTTGAGATGTGACCGGTGGAGTTCAACCCTGTCGCGTGTAGGCAGTAACTACCAAAGACAAATAGGTGAGGTCGCGAAAAATCCCTAGATCAATCAGAGCTAGACATTAAGACCGTTGGATGCCGGCTCAGTTGTCCGATGGTTAGGCGTTCGCGCACAATACCGGAGGTCCTGGGTTCAAATCGTGTGAGATGCAGGAGTCGTGGATGCGCACTGCTGATGAGTCCCGTACCAGGAAGAAACGGCCGTCCAGTGCTTCCAGATTTCTAAAGGGTGGTCTAACAATGATTGATTGATGATTTCAAATGGTGGTTAACAATTTATGAGTTTGTATCATGTAACAGGAATGTTGATTTGATTAGATCTTAATTGTTTTCGTTTCTTCTATTTATTTATTCATTGAATAATATTTGCATAATTTAGAATCTTTACGTCGTCGTGATCAAACACTCACTGGTGACAGCGGCGGTGGTGATAATGACAATGCAACAACTAAAACATCAACAAAATATGATTCTTCTAAAAAAGATGAAAATAAACGAAAAATTCGTCGGCTACAACGTATGTTATCGCATAGTTTAGCTGCATTTCTAGCTGGTCAACCTGGTGGAGCATATTCTATAAAGCGATTATTAGCAGCTGATGTAAAACAGTTGTTTCGAAAACAGAATAATGATGATAATAATGATATGCGTGAGATTCAATGTAAGTTTTTTGTCTTTGACTGACAAATAAGCAACTTCTTCAATTGTACTGGAGTCTTAGTGATGAGGGAATCATTATCGGTGTAATTATATTGTCCAGTCCGATCGTTGTTTAAATTAAACCCAATTTATGCATGTAGGACCGATGAACTGTTTTACCAATGACGTCAAGTGACTATTGAACCGTGACCGATACCATCCCATTGTCTAGTAGTCATAAGACTAAATTATTAAGTAGATATTTTCTCTATCGTATAGTAGTTCGTTTGACTCAAACATTAATATGTTTATACATATTAATTATCAGACAACAACACATTCCAAATAGAAGACAACGATTTATGCACACAATCAAGTTATCATCAGTGATAGAGAATGAAACAAAAGTTGAATAATTACATAATCTGTGAAAATTACATTTGAAATAATATCAGTGATTGAAATTTTATGTAGTTTTAGCGTTAAAATAATTAATTAGCAATCATCAACGAACACCGTAGTCATAGTTGAATAGTCTAACAAAAGCTTACAACACAAAGAATACAGAAATGCAATAATCCATTTATCTAATAAATAAACAGTAAAAATATACTCAATTATAGTCTGTAAAACTGACTTCCAGAAGTTTCAACTTCCTCAATACTCATGCATCTGCGCCATTTCAAACGGTTTTGAGCTATGACACTCAGGGTCTCTAACCATCGATCACTATCATCTCGTGGACCCCAAACAGGTAGTCGACACCTACCGACATGACTCAATCCACTTGTCAATGACTTCATGGATTTCTACCATGTTTTGGTCTGGCCACCTCTAGCTTCCTTCCAGCCTATTCCTAAGTAGTCATTCAAAATGAAGGCAGCCACTATTTAGAACAAGGCCATCAGCACTGATCAGGCTCCCAAGATAAGTGAAGCGGTCAACATGCTCAACTGCTTCACTCCCTATCACTAGTTCAGATACCGATACAAGCCAGTCTTGAAGCAGCATTTTGCATTTCAAGGGGAAGAATCGCATCCCGAACATGCTTGCATTGTTGCTCAGGGTAGTCAGGAGACACTGCATTTTTTCAGCGTCCTGTTAGAAGGTCTGCTCCGTAAAATAGAAGCGTGTCTATGACAAAATAAAACAAGAATGGAGAGAGTGGACATCCCAGGCTGACACCGCTTGAAGTAATCAATTTCGATGACAGTTTGCCATAAGCTGTAACTCGACCTGTAGTGTTCGAGTAGAGAGCTTACATAAGGTACGCCTTTCAATAACAGACACTGCCACAAAACATTACGATCGACAAAGTCAAATGCCGCCTTTAGGTCCAGGAAGACAACTATTGTCGGACACCTAAATTTGTGTCTGTGTTCTAGAACCTGTCATAGTGTGAAGATGTGGTCTATACAACCACGTCCAGGTCGAAAGCCAGCCTGGTTTTCCCTAGTTTGCTTTTCACGAGCTCTAGTTAGGCGTTTACGTTTAATCGAGGCTAACAATTTAGATACTATATTAGTTAGACTTATTCCCCTGTGATTGCGACGAGAAGACTTTTGTCCTTTCGTATAGATTGGGACAATCACGTATTGAGACGATTCAGATGGGGTTACGTCCAGTTTTCCAATTCTACCTAATATCTCAGTCAATCTAGCTGCTAAAACTGAAAGAAACACCCGCTTTCGTACCCATAAAAGCACACGAGACCAATTTGGTCACAATCGAATCCTTTCAAGACATTGATGATATATCTTTATTGTGTAAAATAGATATTTTAAAAGTTTTTGGAAAATCGCACTAAGGTCGTGAATTATTTTTATTTCGTAATGACTAGTATTTGAATGCATAATTCCAGAGCTACTGTAATAATAATAATAATATCTTACTCTTATCTAATAAATAGCAGTTAATTAAGCTACTGGTACATCTAATTTAAGCGTCTAATTTTAAGATATCAAGCAATAATTAAAGGCAATGTTCCGATTTTTTATAAAAAAGACATCTATCAGTCCAAAGTAGCTGGTTCAACTTATTTCAGTAAAGAAAATCAGAACTTAAGTTACTAAATAATTTATTTTTTTCACAGATTATATGACGCGTAGATCTGAACTAGATAATCATTGATAACTAATAAGCACTGGACAGCTGTTTCATCCTAGCACGAGACTCCTTAGGACTGTGCATCAACAATGCAACCGAGGATCGAAACTAGAATATTCGGTTTCGCGCACAGGTGCTTGATATATATATATATATATATATATATATATATATATATATATATATATATATATGGATACATCGACTATCTTGTGCCTCTTACCATTTCAAATAAGCTCACAATTTAATACAAATCTTGCCTTCATTAAAACTTCTGCTCTATAGCAGTCACGTGTAGAGAGAATGAGTTCCGTTGACTGTTCCGTAACTGAATAATGTTTATATTGCCACATGATTTTCTGATTAATACATTTTTCTTTATTTTATCACTTTTTATATCCATGTCTCGTGTAGCTCAGTCTAAATCAATGCCAAAAATTTGTAAGAAAATAAATTTCGATGATATTCCATTGCAAGAACCAGATCATGAGTCGGGTATTACGTTCAATTTATCCAAAGGGGGCTATCAAGTTACAGATTACTTGAATATTGATTCGTAAGTGAGGATTATCCTCCTTATTTTCTACTAATAATAAATAAAGTTAAACGATCAAGGAATTCAACGTATGATTACTGAACAGATTGATATATAACATTGTGAAATAGCTTATTAGTTACAACACTTGGTTTTAAACTGCTATGTTACATGTAGGAACTTGCCTATAGCTGTAACTAAGAACAATGTTTGATAAAATCTGTAGATACTAAGTCGCATGATATTAAGGACTCTATGCAAACAGTTGTGATGAACTATGAGCTCCCAGTTCTATAAAGCTATCATTCATTCCACCATGTAGGACTATAAACTGATCACCTCCGTATTTCCCACTTATTCCTAGAACCCTCAAACAATTCACTACACGAAAGCCATTTGGAAGATATTCTTACAAATTTTTTTGCTGGAGTTTTGTTCTCTGAGCTGGGTGGTTTTAGTTTTGAAGCTTTGATCTCTCTAAATAGCCTAATCGGTTCAAACTTCAGATAAAAGTGAGCCACTCAAGTTTCGTTTCATGTGACTAAAAACCTGTTATGCTATCTTGCTTTCGGCTTGTTTTGTCATTTTCTACCTACTCATTTTTTATCTTCCTCTTTGATCTGATGGTTGTTGATGATTTTTCCATCTGACCATGATTTCACATTTTACTAGTTGGACGCATATCTATCCCTATGAGCATAGACATAAACGAAGATATATCTTTGAATGTGACAGCTGGTAAGTATTAATAAAGATGTAGATGAACTTCCTAGTTCGAAAACTGTAACTACACTAAATTCACCCGCCTAAACTGACAGTCTTATTCAATATATCAACTCATCTTGTTCATCAGAACATGTGTTTCAAGATAGTAAGACCAACAAAATTCCCATAACAATGACTGAACACATAATATAGGCGCTCGGCTTTTATAGCTTGATGTTATTGATCCCTGGTAGTCAACAGAATTTAAACACAACATGTGATCGAATATTTTAATCTGGGGAATGATTAGGTTTCACAAGCACACAGAAAACTGATCTTATCTACGCATTATATGATATACCTTTTACGCCCAAACTAACTTGGCGACTGGTATAGATTCAACAATATGATATATTATGAAACTATAAATAAGGAAGTAATTACTGTCCAATGTCCTTAATACTTTGGTTCAATTTGTCATTCCATGCTAAAAAAAAGAGATATTTTCTTTAAAGTAATCAGTTCATTCACAATACCCACAAGGTATTTTTGTTGGTGCTTATGTTAATGAAATATACATATTTGTTTTATATTTTTCTTTTGTAGATTGTATCCTGAAATAATGCCAGTTCAAGATCCATCAACTGCAGAAGATAGAGATGAATCCGATTATTATGATGCAAGTAACAGTTATAATCTTGCATTACGATTACGAAAACAAATCCCTTATGAATCGTTTGATGAAGCTTCTAAGGATGATCATTACAGAGATTTTAATGAAAGTTCATCTTTATATGAACCAAATAAAAATCAAGAGGAAGATGATAAAGAATCTTTGGATGAATCTAAAAATGTTTGTGAAATCTGTGGTCAAATTATTACAATTCAAGGGACTTTGCAAACATCTATCTTAAGGCATCGAAGAAACTGTCAGGCATAAAATGATTGGGAATTTTCCCGTTAAAAATTCCTTCTTATGATCTTGTATATAAATATATATTTTTTACTCAAGATTTTATTCGATGATTTATTTATGCATGTATGACACGCTCTTTAGTCAGAGCTTGACCTAAGTTCATTACATATGTGATCTGTAACTAGTCTCTACCTAATGCAACATCATACAGAAGAACTGTTGGGACATTCTTACGTCCACACAGAGACTAATGAATATCCTCTAGTTACATTTTAAAGTATCAGCGACTGACTATGCAAAGTAGGACGATCCGAATACACTCTAAATACCATGACTCAATAAAAAAATAAATCGACTGGTTTACCCTTGTTAACTGCCAAGGCGAGGTTTATACCAACGATTTCCTGACAAACTAACTTTATGGTGAGCTATGATGTCCTCAGTATCACTGTTTGAACATACATTCAATCTACGTGCTGGGAACGTCGATGATTACTCGTGCGAACCGTTCGTTAACAGTCCGCTGTTATATCTACACTACGGAGTATCTACAGCGTGCAAACATGAAGTAGTATATCAGTTATGACGAATAAACAACTATCAAATGCACCGACTAATTCACCAAACGACTGATTGTTAGTGGGGAATTTACAGCTGAAAGGATACTATTGGAGTTTACTCTGTCAGGCGAAACAACCAGTCATGGTAGTGATCTGATACCGAAGTGGGGAGGGCAGGACAACCTGACCTGGTCTCATTAATAAAACAGCAAGTCTAGTTTGTAACTCACTACATTCCAGTTATTGGGTTAGTATACTCTCCTATTATACTAGCAAATGCTTGCTACTGAACGAAAGAACCGAAACCAGAGGTATCGCATGTACCCTGTGGCATAATATAAGGATATTTCCCAGTCCACGAAATTCAACTGCTTAGTTTTGAAATTATTTATAGGAGGTACGCAGTGTCTATTAATTCAAAAAATACATATTGACATGTTGATAAAGCCTTTCCTAAGCAGTCAGTCAGTTGCAACATAGAACTACGCACGTATGTACATAAGTTCATGTTGCCACACCACTTTAGCACAAAGACGCAGATGTCGAATCAAATCCCATAGCGATAAAGATAGTAAAGGTATTAATGGTAATGAAAAAGACTAGGGTTCGAAGATATTATTCAAGAAGTATAATTAAGTGAAATAAGCTTAGAAAGACAAAGGTAGAGGTGTTGACGAATCCAGAAGATTAGGATTTGACACAGCACAACGAATGGATGCACTTGCGCCATTGCAAACGATTTTGAGCCATGTCGTTCAAGGTCTCTAACCATTGGTGACTTCCGTCTCGCGGACCCCAACCAGGTAGTCTACATCTACCAACATGACTCAGTCCACTAGTCAGTGACTTCATGGATTTCTGCCATGTTTTGGTCTGGCCGCCCTTAACTTTCTTCCAACCTACTTCTACACCACAAAACATAGCTCGTCGAGGAAGTCGGTGGTTAGCCATACGTAACACATGTCCCAACCACCTCAACTGATGAAGTTTCAGCACTTCATCTACTGATCTGCCATCCTTACCTAGTACTCGTTTCCTAACGACAGCATTGCTTACTCGGTTGTCCCACGATATACGAGCGATGCTTCTTAGACATCTATGATCGAATACTAGTAACCTACGAACATCTACTCTTAACGGCCATGTTTCACAGCCATAAAGTAAGACGGAGCGAACTGCTGCACAGTACACCCGTCCTTTGGTTAGCAAACGGATATCACGGCTACGCAATAAGTGACGCAGGTTGGCAAAAGCCAATCGAGCTTTCTGTATCCGCGCTGAGATTTCGTCAGTCACCAGGCCATCAGCACTGATGAGACTCCCCAGATAAGTGAAGTGTTCAACACGTTCGACCACTTCACTCCCTATCACTAGTTCAGGTGCCGATGCAACCCAATCTTGAAGCAACATTTTGCATTTCGAGGGGGAAAACCGCATCCCGAACATGCTCGCATTGTTGCTTATGGTAGTCAGAAGACTCTGCATTTTGTCAGCGTCTTCACCGAATAGAACTATGTCATCGGCATATTCTAGACCAGTAAGCGATTTTCCTGGTAGAAGGTCAACCCCTGAAAAACCTGACGAGCTCGATGTTAACTCTAAGAGGATGTCTACGACAAAGTTAAACAAGAATGGAGAGAGCGGACAGCCCTGACGGACACCACTTGATGTAGAGAATTCAGATGACAGTTCGACATATGCTCTCACCCGACCAGTGTTCGAGTAGAGTGCTTGTATAAGGTTAATGTACTTCTTTGATACGCCGTTCAATGACAAACACTGCCACAGAACCTTACGATCCACTTAGTCGAATGCCGCTTTTAGGTCCAGGAACACGACTATTATCGGAAGTCTAAATGTGTGTCTGTGTTCCAGGACCTGTCGTAGTGTGAAGATGTGGTCTATACAACCACGTCCAGGTCGAAAACCAGACTGGTTTTCTCGAGTCTGCTCTTCACGAGCTCTAGTTAGACGTCTGAGTATAATGGAGGCTAACAATGTAGAAACTATATTAGTTAGACTTATTCCCCTGTGATAGTCACAAGAAGACTTTTGTCCTTTATTGTAGATTGGGACAATTAGTGACTGAGACCAGTCAGATGGGATTACGTCCGGCTCCCGGATTCTACTTATGATCTTGGTCAGTCTAACTGTTAAAACTGGACCACCGTCCTTAAACATCTCAGGGGTAAGCCTATCAGGACCTGCTGCTCTACTTCGCTTCAGATTTCCTATAGCTTTCACAACTTCATGTAGACTGGGAGGACTTAAATCGATTTGCCTTTCAGGAGGACTGGGGATCGTGGGCAACCGAAGTGTGGCTCGAGGCCAGTCGAACTGTTCCCTAAAGTGTTCTGCCCATCGGTCCAGTCTCCTAGATTGAGAATGGATAATAAGACCATCCTTTTCCGAGATAGTCTCACTCACATTCGTGTTCCTAATGCCGGTTTCTTTGATAAGGCGGAAAAGTTGCCTATCGCCGCTGCCTTTTCCATCGCTTTTGCTTTCGCCACCCACCACTGTTCACGGTCATTAGGCAGGCTTTTTATCAACCTGCGCCTAAGGTGGCTACGCTCTTCATCATGTTCCGAGTCAGGTGGGATGAGTTTTCGAGCTATTGAGATCCTCGGCCTCATCCTAGCCTTATGTTTTACCTTACTAGCAGATATCACTGCTGTTTCCACAGCCTTTTTCACATCATACCAACCTGCTTCTGGACGGGAGTCGCTTTCATGATTGCTCAACTGCTCTTCGAGTTGCTCCTGAAACATATTCCTAGCTTGATTATCATCAAGTAAAGCATTAAGAGGCTTCCTTACGGTGTCTTTCCTACGCCCAGTAAGCCTCAAACAAATACGACCTCGCACTAGGGCATGATTTGAATCTAGACATGTGCCCCAGAACGAGCGATAGTCCTCTATCGAACCCCTCCATCGTTGGCTGATGGCGATATGATCTAGTTGCGTCTAATGTTGGGACGACTTCCGGGGTCGCCAGGTCGAAAGATGTTTTTCCTTATGCTTAAAATTAGTGTTTGCCAGAAATAGTTGGTTATCTGAGCCGCGACACCATAACATCCACCCAGGTGTCTTTCATCCTTTCCTAAGCAATAATCTTCGGCATACCGTCATAGCAAATACCACTTACAGTGAAGTCAGAAAACCATGTGATAATAAGTTATGTATTTACAAGCAAACAGAACCCGGTGACAAGACTAGGTACTTTCTTTATTGGACTTTGAGGGCCATTCGACGATATGGTCGATTGAACCAGCTTCGTACTGCTGCCACATACGGAAATAGAGGGCTTCTATATCGGCAGTATAGCTACGACAGCTGAAAAGAGCGGATGACTCTCTCGCCTTCCAAACCTGTAAATTGAATATGAGGAGTAAAGAACTTAGACTTACTTTAGCCCTCATTGCCTGGAGGTATTCACGACTATTTCCAAGTTTGGTTGCGATACGAACATAGTCTTCCTGACTGTTAGCCACCAGCTCAGGACATCCTAATGTGTGAAGCTGACTAGCTGCAACGCGACTCGCCAATGTCTCAAGTGGGAGGGTGACAACAGGACAACCGGCCCACAGAACGTCCATACCAGTAGTATGTCCATTGCACAAAGGTGTGTCCAGACAGACATCAGCAACCTGCATTTAGAAATCACAAAAAGTTATAAGAGCTTACCTGACCACGACGAACATGTTCCTCTTTCGGTGCAACGTTGCTAAATAAGATCCGACGGTTGACCTGTTGAAGACCCATTTCGGAAGCTGCTGCAAGCGCACCGGCTTCGCCAGCAGCTGGGAAGCGCAACAGCCACAAAACACTGTTTGGAACACCTTTCAGGATTTCAACCCACATCCTCATTGTTGATGGATCAACCTTATATAACTGATTGAAGTTACAAAAGACGACGGCATCTTCCGGCAAACCATAATGCTGTCTGGAAGTAAGGATCAGGTCACGTGGTACTTCTTCACCAGCAGAAGCTTTCGACTGTGTTTGCTGTGTCACCAAACCATTGTGAATAGTGACACCATTGATGGTACAAGACGGACTGTTTGTTCGAATCATGTTTTGAATGGGTTGCAAGGAAGGAATTGTTAATACGGTGAGTTTGGTGAAATAAGAAACCTCTTTGCGTTGACTTCCATGTATCTCAACTAAGCGACCCCCATAAGTGACTTCACGCACACAAGCGACCTGCAGTAAGGGTTTAATATCCAAACCACTAACGACGATGGAATTGTCTGTTACACGGCGCCCTGCGGTGGCGTCTTCAGCACTCTCCAAAATAACCCGGTTGCGTAAATGAGGAAACATTTGTTGATGATCTCCGATAAAGAATGTCTTCGGCATGTAAGCCAACTTTTCAGAGTACTGATGGCTCAAGTGCATCGGGGATGTTACCATGTCCGTTATGATATAATCCATAAACGTTGAACCACTTGTACCAGGATAACCTAACCACATAGCTTGAATCGGTGCAGGCTTCAGCGCAAATATTTCATTACGCGCACCCTTCGTATAGCCATTCATGTTCAAGAGGATGTGAATTCCATCGCTTGCAATTTTATCAGCAGCTTTTCCGTGACACTGAATCCCACTTAGGTCGATGAAGTGTTCGGCTTCATTAGCGACCTTGGCTCTGAAGTTGGTGCCATCGTCAGGTGCAAGTGAGTAGCAGAATACTTCAACTTTAGTTCGATCATGTAGACCTGGGATACTTTGCATCAAGTGACTGGTTGGATGATTACAAAAATCAGAACTAACATAGCCGATTCTCAAACGCTGTCCGGCGGGTAATTTTTTATTAAATCGGAATGGTTGATGATGGAGTAAAGACACTTTTTCCAAGCAAAGGGAAGCATGTTTCCCAGCGATTTTCTTACGCTGTTCATGAGTCAGTGGGTATAACATGGAATGATGAGGGTGGACAGATGGCAAGCGGTTTGATTCTAGTTGATCTTGAACCATGGAAACAAGTTTCTTCATTCTGTGCTTATAGTCAGACCAGTCACATACAATCTGCAGACAGTGCGCGAGGTTGCAGAACGCATCTGGGAAATTAGGTTTTAATTTTAAGGCAGTCTTGTAGGATGTTATAGCCTCTGCGAGATTACCGCTGTCTTTTAGGATGCTGGCCAAGTTAGAATGAGCATCAGCGAACGCGGGATTGATTTGAATAGCTCTCTGATAACACTGCATCGCACCTTGGACATCTTGTAGTTCCTTCAGGGTATTACCCATATTGGAATAAGCATCTGCAAATGTAGGCGATATGCGAATGGCTTCCCGATAATGCAGTAAAGCTTCTTGCAGCTTTCCTTGTAATTGAAGCATGCTTGCGAGGTTAGAATGAGCTACCGCAAACTCAGGATATATCTCGAGCGCTCGAACATACAGTCGTATGGCTTCTTCTGCTTTTCCTTGCTCACGTTTAATGTTTGCTAGATTGTTTAAAGAATCTGCATGCGTAGGACATAATCTTAAAGCTGTATTGTAGTACTCTTCAGCTTCTGAGACCTTCCCCTTTTCTTTGAGAGCATTGGCTAAGTTACAATAAGCATCCGGAAAATTGGGCTGCAATTCAATTGCTCTTTTGTACGTGTCAATAGCAAGATCGATAAGATTCTGCTCGTAGTAAACACAGGCTAAGTTTCCATGAACAACAGCATTATTTGGAGACAACGTCAACGCCCTAAGATAAGCTGCTACCGCACGATCGAATATCCGAGCTTCCTTCAACACATTTCCGAGGTTAACGTATGCATCTAGAAAAGTAGGGTCCAGAGTAACAGCCTGGAAGCAAATAAAAACGCAATCAAAACCCACCTTTTCAAAGTGATGAATTGCCAACCATATTTCATTTTGCGCATTAAACACACATCCCAGGTTGCTCCAAGCCACTGCAAATGTTGGGCACGTCTCAATCGCTTTCAGATAACATGACTACAATAAAAAGCAGAAATAGATAAAGTAGAAGACGCGGGCGCTGAGCGGCTGTCAACCGACAGGTTCACAGCTTAGCATGCGAGCGCAAACTACCTACACCAAACAGCGACTCACCACCCTTGAGCCGAACTTGGTGGGATAACTTAAAGCGCAGTGCAAAATTTGCACCTAAGGGAACGCGCGAAGGGTAGGAGAAGGGGGAACTCACGAATGCATTTGTTCACAGAACCAGTCCGCACTGAAGGATTGACTGAACAGCAACCGATTGGAGAATGCACATAGCTGTTTGAAAGAAAAAATCTCGTTCATTAGAATGACCGTAGGTTGGCTGGAAAGTTTGCTTGATTAAGCAGCGCGGCGGCCATGTGGACCGCTATTTAAAAAAACATAGCAAAAAAATTATTCAAGCAAACAATCGCAGCGCGCCGCGGCGACCTGTATGCCGCCTTACTTTCGCCTCATCCAAGCGTCCAAGAGCCTTTAATAAGTTTCCCAGATCACTCCGTACACAGTACAAGTCCTAGAAATTCAGATAAGGTTAAACAATAGCATACTGGGTTGTATTGCAATGCTGTCGCATATGCGTTAACGGCAGACTCCATGTCTCCAGCTGCAACCAGAGCAGCAGCTAGATTAATGTATCCATCAATGAAATCCGGTTTGATTCTTAATGCATGTCTGTAGTTGTCGATTGCCTCCTTTAACTGTCCTCGCTCTTTATAAACGTTGCCGAGGTTGGAGTACGCCTCTGCCATCAGTGGGTTTTGTTTGATAGCCAGCTGGCTGAAGTAAGCTGATCTTTCCATTCGGCGACATTGAAAGTGTATAGAACTTAGCAGTAACAACGTTGATGTATTTTCCGGATCTTGGTGCCATAATTGCATGCAATGTTGTTCAGCTCGTTCATAATCCCCAGCTTGGTACTCTCTATGTGCAAGTTCAGCAAGGCCTGAACAAACATTATCAATTAATAACACGAAATAGTTAAGAAGGAGACCACGTGTCATGATACTCACTTGAAACATCAGTTAGACGCAAAATAGATCGTCTCTCAATCATTTTGCTAGACGACTGACTTAGATGAAACAAAATGTCGCTCAGCGCGGTCGCCATATATCACGTAGATTCATATAAACAAACAACACCTCAGAAGCTTAAGAGTGGTAACTAAACTTATTATTACGAAATATTTTTCACTTTTTACATAGTTTCCATTAAATTCATGGCTTTCAATTTCCGTGCATCAAGGTATGGGACCATCAGGACAGTATCTTTTAGAAAAGGACAGTGGCCAAGGTGTTCTATGTTAGTCCGTAAAATAGTGGTCTATCACTTGACCCAACTTTCTCTTAAATGTATAGACAGATGAAAATACGATTAATACCTGGGCAGTGGGCTCGATTCCTCGATAATAAAATCTAAAAATCAACAGTCATCTGCGTTTGTGAGCTTGTTTAATTTCTTGGTAAATGTTCTTCTTAGGAAGATATGAAGAAAGACGGAATTTCAACAATATTAAGAATACGACTAACTTACCTTTGTCGCTTCTATATCAAGAGTTTGAGGTCGATATCTTAATGGTGATTGTAGAGGGGTGCGACAAAAGTAAGGTATTTCCCATGGACAACCCTAATCTGAAGCGGTATTGCCTTCTCTCAGAGGAAAGAAGGGGTCAGAAAAGATTGACAATAGAACTGTTACACCTCATCTTACTTCACGGATGTACGTCTCTAGAATTAGCGACCGCCCCCCGGCTAGCAGTAACAGTTATTTTCAACTCCTTCCTGTATCACCTAATTACGCTCTTAAATCCATGACCTGAACCTATCACATTCTTTATCATCTGGTACAGCTTACGGAAACGATTTGAGTGCACGAAACTTTAATCTTGGTTTCCAGAAACAATGTTCTTAACTACATATCGAAGCTTTGAATGTTCGAACCTTGTTCCAAATAAGACAACAAGCTTCCTTAGTTAGGACTTAAGAATCTCGAGCCATCGATGTATGTTGCGCCTCTGAAACGCTCACACAGAATCCGATTAGTGTTATTAATTAGACTTCACCCATCAGAGTATTTGGAATAACCACTGCTGTTTCCCGTGATCTGAATAGTTTGTGTGTAGCATGAAGTCCTAGTGCAGAACTAGGTCTTTTAGAATGAATTTCAGTAGATAGTTGTCTATTCACCGTCAGACTGAAAGAGACAGTAAGAAGTCCGAAAGATAGGGGTACTCGCTGTTGCCTCTTCGTTTCTATGCGTACGCTCTCACTGACTGCAGTTCGGATGAGGCGAAAGATGAGTTCTACAAAAAACCTTTTGGGGCTCTCCCGAAATTTTAGGTGTTTTAATGTAGTAATAATATAGGGTGACTTTGTTGCTTAAGTAAGTAGACTCAGCGGAAAGGAAAGACACCTGTGCGGATCTTATGGTGTCGCAGCCAACAGAATAGATAATCGCGATTTCGAGATCTACAGGCTGGATTTCGTTAGAATCGATCGTGCACGGATGAAATTGCAACATTGCGGATCATTGAGGAACAATCAATTGAATGCAATGCTCCACTTTACTCCACTTCATTGACCAAGATATAGCATTTTACAGCGTCGATAGGATGACGCTACGGTGGCTTCTTCGACACGACAGCGTGTCTGAGAAGACAGTCAACATCATGAGGAGTTCTTACAATGGATTAAACTGCAAACTCGCGCACGGAGGACAGATGACAGACTCTCTCGAGGTGAGAACCGATATCAGACGAGGTTGCTTACTCTTGCCCTTTCTCTTTCTCCTGGTGATCGACTGGATTATGAAGACGTTAACATCTCGAGAGAAGCTCGGTATCAAATGGACAGCTAGGACGCAGCTGGATGACCTGGACTTCGCAGATGACCTGGCTCTTCTATCGCACACGCAAAACCAAGTGCAAGAGAACACGACATGTGTAGCAGCAACCTCTGCAGCAGTAGGTCTCAACATACATAAAGGAAAAAGCAAGATTCTGAGATACAACACAACATGCGCCGACCAAACCACGCTTGGTGGAGATTCTTTGGAGGACGTCGACACCTCTACATATCCTGGCAGCATCATCGACGAGAAAGGTGGATCCGATCCAGATGTGAGAGCGCGGATCGGCAAAGCAAGGGCTGCATTTCTACAATTGAAAAATATCTGGAACTCCAAACAACTTTCAACCAAAACTAAAATCAGGATTTTCAATACAAATGTGAAGACAGTTCTACTGTATGGAGCGGAAACTTGGAGAACTACCAGAGCCATCATCCAGAAGATACAAGTGTTTATTAACAGTTGTCTAAGCAAAATACTTCGGATTCGTTGGCCAGACGCTATCAGCAACAACGAACTGTGGGAGAGAACAAAGCGGATTCGAGTGGAGGAGGAAATGAGGAAGAAGCGGTGGAAGTGGATAAGACACACATTACGAAAAACACGTAACTGCGTCACAAGACAAGCCCTCCCTTGGAATCCTCGAGGTCCAAGGAAAAGAGGAAGGCCAAGGAAAACACTACGTCGAGAAATAGAGAAAGACATAAGAAGAATGAAAGAAAACTGGAAAGAACTGGAGAGGGAAGCTCAGGACAGAGTTGGTTGGAGAAAACTTGTGGGTGGAGTATGCTCGATTGGGAGTAACAGGCGTAAGTAAGTAACTGGAAAAACGGTTGGGCGGCCATGTAAGTGATTCCCATTCAAGGGCAGCTTCGAATGATATCAAAAAGGCCGTGGAAACAGCAGTGATATCTGCTAGCAATGTAAACCATGTGGCTAGGAAGAAGCCTTTAATCTCAAAAGCATCCACCAAACTGATAGATGCTCGAAAACGCATCTCACCTGGCTCTGAACATGAAGAAGAGCGGAGTCAGCTTAAGTGCAGGCTGGTGAAAAGCCTACGCAATGACCGAGAACAGTGGTGGGTGGTGAAAGCGAGAGCGATGATAAATGCAGAGGCGATAGGTAACAGCAGACAGTTGTTCCAAATTACTAAGGAAACCGGTATTGGAAATCTATCTGTTAGCGAAACTATCTCAGAAAAGGATGATCATATTATTCATTATCAATCCAGGAGACTGGACCGATGGGCAGAACACTTTAGGGATCAGTTCAACTGGCCTTCAGCCACACTTCGGTTACCCACGATCTCCAGTCATCCTGAATGGCAAATCGATTGAAATCCTGCTAGTCTTTATGAAGTTGTTAAAGCTATAGGAAATCTGAAGCGAGGTAGAGCAGTAGGTCCTGATAGGCTTACCCTTGAGGATTTTAGGATGGTGGTCCAGTTTTAGTAGTTAGATTGACTGAGATCTTAGGTAGAATCTGGGATCTGGACGTAATTCCATCGGTAATTATCCCAACTTCTATGGAAGGAAAAAAGTCCTCTTGTGACAATTATCGAGAAATCAGTTGGACTGAAACAGTATCTAAAATGCTAGCCTAAGTAGAGCTAGTGAAGAGGGAATTCGAAAAACAGGTTGGTTTCAGACCTGCGCGTGGATGCATAGACCATTATTTTACACTTCGTCAGGTACAAGAACGTAGAAATTATTTGATATCTGACAACGGTTTCTTGCTGTTATGGGTATAAAGGCTGATGTTACTTCCCGGCTATCCACACCGTGGAAAGATACTTTTCGAGAAATCTGATAAAGAAATTGGATTAGTGGTGGTCTAAGGGACCTTGAAGCGTGACCGCTGAGCCCAAGAAACAACTGATTGAGGTGGTCACCCACGGTCCTTTTACGGTAAATTCCGCATCTGTTAGCTCCGCTCTTCAAATAACCTTACTTCCAGAGACGGGAATTTGTGGGTTAGGGTGAGGAATAACATTTTTAGACCCGATCTTTTCTACATCCTTCTTTCCTTATGAAAAGGCAGCATCTCTACAAATGTTGGATGCCGAGGTAATCAATATACTGCTGTCACATCCCTCTACAGTCCATTGTACGACATCTCCCTTAGAACTTGAGTAGATGCTTTTAGTCTCATCGTTGTACAAATCAACTTGCTTGACATAGTAAGACCTCCAGGAACATATCTTCCAGCCAATATAGCTCGGTTGGATCATCATGGTAGACAAGCTTGACCACCACGTCAAGGTATCGGCTACAGTCGACTCTAACAGCAGTTGTATTTCTTGACCCTAGGGTAGAATCTGACGAATGATTGTGAGGTTCTGTGTCAGTGTCTTTCATTGCAGCGTTTGCCAATTAAGTACAGTAACTTAGGTGAAGACGTTGACGAAACAACCGGTGTAAGTATGTGCCGAGTTCCATGTTGTAACTGACCACGTCAATGTAGAGACTATGATCTGTAATAACATTGGCTAGATAATCTGCTACATCAGTGACACTTTATTGGTCTATATCAACCACCCGGATAATAAATGTTTACATCTTCACCGAAGACGCTTGCAATAGAGTCTTCGAACCACCTTAAGCAACACTGCAACATTTCAGGGTGCGGTTCTCCCCATTGAGATCCAAAATTTTGCCTTAGGATTGGGTTTCGTCAGTGCCTGAATTATTTATCAGAAGCGAAGTAGTTTAGAGCGTTGAACACTTTACTAAAGTCGGGATTATCATCTGAGCTAATGGTATTTGACAAAATCCCACCACGAATCTAGAAGGCTCTAATGGCTTTTGCCAACTAGCACCGCTTATGACGTAGGCGAGATACCGTATGATAACCAAAAGATGAGTCTGCTGCGAGATTCCTTTATCATTTGAGGTGGTTGGAACATGTAGAACATATGTCTAACCTTCGACTACCTCGAAGAGCTATGCTATGCTATGTAGTAGTAGAAGTAGTAGTTTAAAACGTCACAAAGTATCACAAATATAAACTGATTGGAGTGAAACATTCAACGCGTACAGCAATGTACGTTGTTATTCATCAAATCCAACAAAAATTGGAATTCCGCATGTCTATTAAGTAATATTTCCTAAATCCCAATTCTGTTGTATCTTCCTTAGGGTTTTGTCTTTCGATTCTAAATCACTTCGATGATTTGAAGTGTATAATTATCCACAGAATCCGGATTAAGGAGAAAACACGCAGAACTAAAAATCTTAGAGCACTTCACTTATTACTTAAGCCTTGTGT